TTTTGTTGTTGTTTTTTTTGCAAATCTTGACAAGATAAAGCAGACAGATTGACTCTCCAGGACTAGAATTGGACTGAACTGGATTAGACGATTACTGTTTCGATTTTTGGAGCCTGAGTGCCTATACAGATCTCCACAGATTCACTGTTGAGATGTAAAAAAATACTTTATTATACTGTGAGGTTTATATTAAAAACAAAAATGCAGAGGCCCTTTCATAACATGAATAAAAGTCTTTAGATTCTGAGAGACATCAATAATTTTTCACCAGACGTGCACTGTAGATTGGGTATTGCATAAGGAAAATCTTGAACAACAGTGTCTTGGGAACAGTAACAGTACATCATCGTGACGTTTAAACAGAGAATTTTTAGTCAACATTTGCCTTCTTTTTCTGCATGATGGCTTGCTTCAATTTTTTACCAGATATAATTCTCAGTGTAATAGGAACATTGCGTGACATATCAATAGTCATCACCACTCCCTGTGTATCCCATAAATTGCTTGCTAAGATCCTGTCCATTGATGGTTGAGTGTGGAGCTTCTGCAGAGATCCCTAGTGCTTCCACTGCTTAAACCATCTTATCTAAGGGTCCCAGTGTTGAATTAATGTAAATTACTTAATACTTTCCAATGGCTCCATACGTAAAGTTAGACCCCTATTTTGGTGCTGTCAAATATTCGAGGTTCCATCACCATACGCTCCCAACATTCTTACCAGCTGACAGAGATTTGTAGGCCTTCGACTTTATCACTGGCAGAGCTAGCTTTACTGTTATACATGCTGTTGTGCCAACAACAGAAATAGAAATGCATTGTTTTCCCTGTAGAGTTACAGTAAGTTAATGTGCGGAACCCAGATGTTGTGATTTTGAGAAGCTTTTCCTATGAATGTGTTGACCCTTGTTGCTTTGAAAATGTATGAATTTACTACAGTGACAAGAAAAAGTTTACAAACCCCTTTAACATATTTGAAACCTTAAATGGTATAACATCTTATGTCCTAGTAACATTTAAGCTTAAATTATGAAACTTTCAATATCCAAGTATGACAAAGTAGGTGAACCTTAAGATTGAGTAATTGGTCACAGCAATGGCTGCAACTACTGTATGTGTTTCCTGTAACAGTTGACCAGTCTCTTATATCAGTTTTAAAGAATGTTGGCCCATTCTTCTTTATAGAATTCCTTCAGCTCTGTGACATTTGAGGGCCGCCTTACACAGACATTTCAGGACTTTGCCTAGACCAAGTGCATAATTTCTTCTTTTTCAGCCATATTTTATAAATTTGCTTGTACAGTATGTTTAGGATAATTGTTTTGCTGTAAGACCTTTCAGTTCAGCTACAGCTCACAGATAGATGGCCTGACATACTCTTCTAGAATCTTCTGATGCTGTACAATGTTGATGTTTTGACCTTAGATTGTGACATGATTTATTTTCCACACTCCTTTATGATTAAGATCAAAGTCACTATGTTTCTGATCTTTATATAAGGTTGGGCCTTCCAAACAACCCCAAGTTGTGCCTATTTATTTAAACATCAAATTCTAATTAATCATTAATTTAACTTAATGAATCATTGTTTAATACATCAGTATACAGAATTTTGTTTCAAGAGACATAGACTATAAACCCTATTGGATATTTACATAAAGACTGGTTTTGATTTTTAAAAAGCCATCATAGTAAAACTTTCCATATGTAATTTCCATATGTGTCTTTGGGGTCCACAACCTTGTTCTCAGCACTGTAGATGTATTGTAAATATCTGGTTCTTCAAGAAAAGGTTAAAAGCTATATCACTCCTAAATGTTTAGATTATCACTTTTTTAGCAGTTTAATATGATCTGCCTACTTACTTCTCACATTCACCAGGATAGGACACTTTAAAAGAATGACTTTAATGGATAGTTGGTGTTTCCTTTCCATATGTATGGAGTCAGAGGTTGAGAGTTCCTGCAATACATGTCACAAACTGCATAATAAATCATTCCCCAGCTACCTGAAGAAAAGAATGCAGATTGGGAGGTGACTTTGACTTCTCCAGGAATCCTAGTGCGGTCTGCTGTTCGTGACTATTAGTCAGGGACATTGAGTCCTCTCTTGTCATAAGCACAAGCTTCTCGTGACTGGAATGGAAAAAAGGTACCATACTTCATAACACTGGTTGCAGAGCTGTAAGAGTATGATTTTAATAAAGGAAAGGAGATAAAGAAAAAAAGAGATATTTAAATTGCAGATATTTAAATTAAAGTCAGAGGCTTTTAACACTAGTTTTATATAGAATCTTAAAAGGTTCAAAAGTAAATACCTGGATGGCATGTTAATTTATAATAACTAATTAAAATGGAATGAAAATTAGTGGATCCATTTCTTGAACATATACAGATTTCAAGAAGCTATCTGTTATTTAAAGGCGACACATGGGTAACATTTTGTCCTTACTTATATAAAAAGTCCTTACTGTATTCTTGTGAATTACAGTAATTCTGCGAGTAGTATATCAGAACTACTATAATCCTCTAGAACACAAAAATGTAGTTGCAACATAGGTTATGATTGGAGGCTTAAATTTTCATAAATGTAGTAATGTGCAAATGTAGTAAAGCATAATAAATGTGTAAAAGAGGTAAATTTTTAAATTATATAATACATAAAATAAACAGCCTATTGCTGTGTTCATTTCATTTACCAAAAGATAGATGTCTAGTTGCTGGTTTAGTGAATGCAATTATGCAAATATTGTAGCAATTCCCTCTTTTCTATAGCAGTGTAGGCATGTGCTGAACGAGAGGCAGGAGAGCAGACCTGCAGGCTCACTGAGGTTTATTGGCCTTAAAGATTCCAAGTTTGTTAGTGATGGAGGAGGGGAGGGTGCAGACACAGAGAGCAGCTTTCCCTGCCAGAACATGAGGTAAAGAGAGAAGGAAAGGAAACCTCACCCTCCTTATATAGAGAGGGGAGAGGGAAAGAGTAATGCTATCATATACAGCTTTTGTATTATATCAGGGTTGTCCAATCAATACAGTGAAGGTCCATGAAATGCACATCGGCTTTGGTTACCCACACAGGTTTGCTGTACATGTTTTTATTTTGGTTTCAATTTAAACCATCAGAACTGTAACAAAATAAGCAGAAACGTTGTAATACGTTTTTCCACACCCACCCTCCTCCCTGCCAACTTCCCATCTGTCCTCAAACCCCTCATAAATCAGACCAAAGTCAGTCTCTCATTTATTCTAGTCACAGCTTCCCTTCAGACCTCCAAAGAGGCATCACTAACCTTGTTTATCCTGGAGGTAGAAAATTGAAGCATCACTATATCCCAGAAATATGACATCTATTGACAAGACTTTTGTTGTGTTCATAGGCCATGGAAAAGTGCTAAAAACTACACGGTATCTCCAAAATTATTCCTTCAGAACTCAATAGAAATGTGGCATGTACAATGCAAAAAAGTACATTAATGGAACTATTTCTACCTTCTTTTCTGTACATCGGAAATTAAAAAGTCACAAAAACTCTGCTGTCACAGGATTCATTTGATCATTTTCAAAGCATGGCAGCCATCTGTTCATAGTGCATTGAAAAACACCCTCCTGGAGGTTTGATACAGATAACTCATATGAACTGAGTTACCTGGAAATTGTTGTATAAACTGCGCAGTCTCCTTTTAACATTCAGAAGAACTCTCCCTGATTACAGTCAGTATCACATCACAACAACAGATCTGCTTTCAGTCTTTTTAGATTTTAAAACTTTATCGGTATATATTGGATTATTTACAAATTAAAATCTATTTTATGATCATTCTTATATGAATACTAATAGTTCTTCCCCCACCATTTTTGTAATTTCTGTATACACACATACTGTATATAAGATAAGAGATCACCTTATTGGCCACATACAATTTCTTGTATTAAGAATTTGTCTTTTTGTATACCCCAGCTTGCTCTCCATGAGACACACAGACAGGAAGAGACGCTTGGGGTTAGAGCACAGGCTCGGCCATTGTACAGCACCCCTGGAGCAGTTGGGGTTAAGGGCCTTGCTCAGGTGCCCAACGGAGTAAAATTCCTCTGCCGGCCACGGGATACACCAACCTTCCAGCCACAGGCACAGATCCTTAGACACAGAGTCACCACACTGCCCCCCCCCCTTTATATATCGTATATAAATAGCCTGTTTTAGTGCAATTTCAGTGGCATATTAATATGTTTTATATTTTACAATAACTGTTCTAACTCCTTAGTTAGAGCTTCCAAACTTCTTTGTTAGAGCTTCCAAAATGGAATGCACTTGTTCATCTTACATATCTACTGTATACATTTTAGAAAATTAGAAATAATATAATTTCTTGGATCTTTTCTATTACATGTTGACTTGACATCTCATGAATGCACTATGTTTGCCAAGGAAACAATTTTTTAGATTAAACAAATCAACGTTTGAAGCTGCTTAGCACAGGAAAAAAAACATCCTGAGCATTAATCAGAGTAAAGTAAGGGAAACAAATCCTGTTTTAGAAACACTTTAGTAAACAAACTCATCTCAAAATAAGCAATATCTCTTTGTAGTTTACTTTTATCTTGAAGCACAAAAGTGTGACAAATCGCCCAAGTTAAAGAACACTATATGTGACCCGAATAGGTGTAATTTGTGCAGCTCTTCAGTGGTGGATAAAATGGTTGTCTTCCTGTATTTAGTTAATCGAAATCCTTTGAGAAGAAATTGGCTACAGAAATGTGAGAAATCTATCTTTTATAATTCACCCACAAGCAAACCTTTTTTTTGTTATATTTTCTGTAAAGGCCAGTGGATTAAAACATATAAAATATGACCAATGAAATCACACTGAAAAGCAAAAGGAGCAAAAAGCATGTTAATGTGAAAATATGTGTCATGGATTTCACTAAACAACTAAAGATGGAGAACTATAAAGTTATCTTTTTTAACACATAATAAATAAATACAGTATATTCATTATAACTTACCTGTAGACTTTATTTTGCTTGAATTGGTTAAGCTTCTTTTGATAGGTGTTTAAGTGTCATCTGCCATTCCAAGAGAACTGGAGAAAGAGGACTGTCCAGCCTCTGAAAACAATTGGATTGTATTTCTGGGGGATGATAAGAACATAAGAACTGTAATTATGAACCTAAACTTTAGTACTTAGTTGAATCACACTTCTACCAGTATACACAGTTCTAGTATATTCCGTTGTAGTTTAGGTATTACATCTAGTTCTTTTAGTTATCAGCTTCAGCTTGAAATCACTGGACTTACAGTATCAGGAAAAGAAGGCTGTCGTAGAAACATTTGATGGAGAACAAGTTATTCAGTAAGTGGAGAACAATCGATATTTACATATACTTTATAAATTGGTATGCAATATTTTAAACATAACAGATTCAAATTTTGTTTAGTTTTGGAACACAATTGCAAGACATAAAAGAGAGTCGGTTTATTTCAAGATAAAGCTCATTGTTCCTTATTCACTATCTAGCTTATCTACTCAGTATCCATGCAGATCAGTATCCATTTTGCTGACACCGTTCAGAAAAATAATGGATCTTGATTTTCTGTTTGAGTTAATTCAAGTTGATTTTTGGATTGATCTATTTTTGTCAAGCCACTGCGGCTAAAACCTGGAATTTACATATCATAAATAGTTATCATTACATCAGTCTGATTTCCAAATGATATTGATTGTTAAGTTACTTCTGAAGTCAGGAACTGAGCATTGTATTTTTAAAGATCTAATTTAATGTAATGGGGACTGCAAATTTTTCAAAGCTTTTTTGATTGACTTTTTTTCTACTTTGAAGTAATTGAAGCAGATCCCTGCCAATAAAAACAAATTGAATGGGAATGGCTTTTAACATCTGCCTTTGGCTACATACAACAGAGCTGGAGATAACAGCCAAACTGAGAAAGACTAACAATCTCCCTGTGATTTAGCAGGCATATAGGCAGAGGTTTTGTTTTATGAATGCTTTAGCAATGGACTGCAAGGAAGTGTACAGTAAGTATACTCTCCTGGAAAGGTTATTGAAGGGAGCAAAAATGTTGAAATGAATGTTGGTATTGGTGATTAAGGATTAAGGATGAAGAACCCTTTATTTAAAATAGAAACCTACTGTAGGACATATTTTTTAAACTTAGATGTGTGCCTCTCTCTCCCTCTTTTCTTCTAGAGCCACTTTTCATTTTGTATTTCTTTCGTGAGAATTAATTTGTTATTAATAGGCTAAAAAGAGACTTTTAATTCTATCTGATTTAAGGAAGATATCCCCTGTATAAAATAATCTTTCAGTTTAACTTAAAGAAAAAGGGAAACTTCACAGTCTATATACTGTGCAGGAGGAAGCCATTTTGCCCATCTAACCCATTTGGTACTTAGTAGCTTATCCAAGGATCTCATCCAGGTATTTCTTGAAAAGCCAGGCTACAGGCTTCAGTAACATGGCAGCTTTTTCCATAGTTCCATAACTCTTTGGGTAAAGACGTGCTTCTGTTCCTGGTTTTCAATGCGCTTCTACATAGTTTCCACTTGTATCCCCTCATGTCTCTAAATTGTCTGGAGGAAACTGGGGAGGTTCAGGATGAAGCAAGCAGCAACTTTAAAATAGTTCAGATGGGAGAAATGATCCATCAGTCAACATTGCTGTGGTCACTCCACAATGGGTGTGTGTATGGAACTGAAAAAAAGCAGCAATTTTAAAATATAAATAAACTGAGCAACAAAAGGAACATATTTCTTCTAACTTCAAGAAATTCTACAAAACATTTTTGTAGCAAATACACAGACATTTTATTGCAAAACCATCACACAGGCGAATTCATTATGCTAATTAATTTTTCTTATCAGTAGGACTAATCGTAATCAACCAATTTCAAAGTGTAATGGTTAAAGGGCAGGGGAATATAAGGCTGCCACTGGAAACAAAATGAACTGTACATCTGTGATGCATGCTTTGCACCAAGTTGCAGGTGCTGTCTTGTAGTATTCAGTCCCATTCCTCTCATACAGACTGGACAAGCAGGTTCCTGTTAAGTAAAACATTCAGGTTGAACCCCACACCATCACTGTCATATTCATGAGTCATAAGGATGTCTGTTATCCTGCTTGAGGTTTGTCTTATGAGGATAAACGTACAGTAGGGGCAGCAAGTGAAGTCAATATCTTGTTGCAAGCTGGCATTTTTGGCGCAGTGGAATTGGCAGGGTAAAAATAATCACAAAAAACAAAGAGCATGACAATAAGTTAATCTTGGTAAGGTGTTACTGCTCATGCTTTTAATAGCTGGACAGTTCTGTAATAACAGGTTAGTATTTGCTGGCTGTGAAGATCCCAGATAGCAAGCAGCAGAGAACTAATGCAGCCCAGTCTCCAACACACAGCTGGCACAAAGACATTGTTCTCTTGACAAGCAGCATAAACTCATTATTTTCCTTTTTACTTTCTCCACCTTGTTATTCCATAGGTTAAATAACCTCGTCACTTGTACCTAATCAACTCTGTCATTGACGAGGTGATTTAGTAATTTTGAAAAGGTCAAAATAACTAAAGTATATTTATTAAAGTGACACATTTCTTTTGATGCTCAGTGTGTCCCTTTTCCCCTGGTTCCTGATTCCAGGATGGACTGGTGTCTCAGCAGGCATGTGCTGTTAGAGCTGCCTTGTACCCTAGGATTCCAGAATGACTTCCAGCCTGGAAATGCGCCGGGCTAAGTAACTTTCAAACAGTGATGGAGAAAAATATTTACATATACATGAGGTATTTATGAATTCTTATTTTTTAATACTGGGCCTTTTCATAAAATTAATGTATTAGTTTCCTGCATTCAGCCTTTGGATGAATTTAATCTGGTTCACAGTACTTCAGAAATACTATATCTAGTTCAGTGTTAATAATATGACGTGATCCATACCATTTTGCAGAAAGAAACCAATATGTGTCAGACTGATTGATGAACATTTAAAAGCAAAATCTAGAGAAACCCTCTTAAATTGTCTGAAGTAAAATCATATTTCTCTTACTACTGTATGTTCAATAACTTCCAGTAATCTTTATATTTAAGTAACAGGTGACACAGACTTTGTGCTTTACCAACTGAAAGATTCATTTTATTATCAACCTCCGAACTAGTCGAGTGTCACCTATTTGTCATCAGCTGACAACCTCTAATACCAGCTTTTCAAAAGACAGATATTATCTAATGACAAGCAAATGTATAACCAGAGGACTGGCTGCTATCCCTTTTCCTTCATGGTGATAATTTGATTTGACGTTTGTGCTGAAGATGACAGATGAGCAAAAGAGGATTTCATTTTCTGATTCTGCTCATGTCATCAAACACAATCATTTCATTAATCACTGAAGGAATAGAAAACTTTTGTGAGACATTCTTGAAAATTCTGCCTATGGCTCACAAATGTAACAGACTTAGCAAACATTCAAAACACAGCAATCTAATCTGACATATTTAAATCTCCTGGATTTTATAGATAAGTGATAAGTGGAGGGTCCTCCATAAGTAAACAAAATGAGCATAATGAGTTATCACAAGGTATAATATGCTATAATGCTGCACAAGGAGTGGAAAGCTGAGGGAAGGAGTTGCTTTTTTGGAAGTATGTCTCAGAGACTGCATCTGTAGGAAATATGCAACTCAATGAACTACAGCTGTGGGCGGTCTTATAAAGGTTTATAAAAGACTAATAAAAGTAGAGTTGCATCCAAAAGCAAGAGAAGAGAGTGTCTTCTAAGCAGTGTGTAGTTTACCCAGCACAAGCAGGGTGAGGCACAAGATCTGGCCAAGCCAGAGTAAGTGTGGGGCCAGGTGTCTGCGTTAATGTGTCCTCTTGGCTCATGCGGAGGCACAGCAGTGAGACTGACTGGGCCAAAACCTGAGAGAGAAAGAGAGAAAGCAGGTCAGTGTTCGTCCATGTGCAACATTGAGGAGCAGAAGTACAGTAGGATCCAGGAAAAACCATACAGTATATCAGAGAGCAGGAAGGATGTGATAGCAAGGGAAAGATTCCTTAAGGTAGAAGCCTTGGTCATTGTCATATCGGGTTGCCAGTAAGGAAAAAAAAGGTGGTATAGCAGTTCTGGCTGTAAGTCATACTATATGATATTAAGGTGTATGTGATCATTCCTTGCTAACAAGTCTGCATGCATCCCCCACTTGGAACATGCCTAAATAGTGAGGCATCTGCATTCCTTTTTGTACCACAAAGGCTAGAAGAACTGTGATCCTCTCACGACCATAAAATCATTAGACCATAAACAGAGTAGGTCTGGTAATTCTGCTGAAGTCAAGAGAAGAGATTTCCCCCATAACCAAGAAGGTCATACATTTGGGGTCACTGCTTAGCTAGGAATGCAAGCAAGGACTTTTGTTAAACTTCAGTTTCACTAAACTGTGCAAAGATAACTTTAAGTCATTAACCACTCTGTTGAAGTTAAATGAAGACATCACATGTTCATACTAAAAAAAAACATATCCAACCTCAAAGAACGATGGATATCTGAGCAAATGCCAATAGAGTAGATATCACTTGTGTGGTATTAAATTAAAAAGCATTTTATAATAAAACTGAAACAGTCAGAATTCTGATATCAACAGGCATTATTGAATGGATTTAAAATTTAGAAAACAGATTATTCTGATCCATCCACAATGATTGAGGGCTCCCGCTTGAAAAATTGAGTCACCCCTTTAGTGGAGAAATGAGGTGCAGACTCCTCCCATTGTTTGTCCAGAAAACCAGAATTCAGATCCAATAAAATTCATTCTTTATTGCTAAAAGACAGCATGGCATACTGGATGAGTTTCCATATCACAAGATACATTTAAAAGAAAAACATTTCTGAGAGGTGTCTGCAATGGTTGTGATGGATTCAGACTCATACAGTATGTTTTGGTTTGAGGAACATTTTCAAATCTGATGACTGGAGGGCTTCAGAGACGCATTGCAGATTTGATCTGTTGAAACCTCAGCTAGGTTTAGGGTTAGCATTCCCACACTATTTAGACATTTTTTCCTTTTAGTGCAGGATTTTGGGTCACATATGAACTTTAGGACGAGTGGTAATGTGTTCCTATCTGAAGATATTGAATCCTATCTTTTATATCAGAGACTTTTTATACTTTATACTGCTTATATTGTATATTGCACCATTCAGTAGTTCCATTCCAAAAGTGAGTCAGACCAACAGTTGTCAGAAAACATGTTCTACTGGTTAAACTCTCTTAATTTTGTCATTTAATGTGGAAATAGATGTATACCTGGAGTCAACATTTAATAGTTGTTCTAAACAGCATTTTTCTGCTTATTGAAATTTATTCCAACGAAGATACATTATTGAACAAGTTACATTTCCAAGAACTGTTTTCAACGGTTTTGATTGTTTTAGATTTATATTTATTGGTTTCAGGAACAATTTCAAATCTGATGACTGCAGGGCTTTCAGACACGCATTGCAGAAGTACTCTGTTGAAACCCCAGCTAGGGTTAGGGTTAACATTCCTACGCTACTTAAACATTTTTTACACTCAGTACTGGATTTTGGGTCCCAAGTAATCTTTACTATGGGTGGTAATTAGCTCCTATCTGAAACTTTTTTTGGGAGACTTTTGGCTTCTCATATTGTATATTGCACCATTTAGTAGAACTAAGTGAAAACTGAGTCAGTTGAAAAGTTGTAAGAATACCTCTTCTTCTGTGTTAAGTCTCTTAATTTTGATATTTATTGTGCAAATAGATGTAAAGGTGGTGTCAACATTTGACTTATAACCCAAACCCTCCACTGGCCTGAAATGCATGCTCACTTCAAAACCATTTTACAGCATTTATCAGTTGAATGAAAAAGCGCCTAAATAAGATATAGTATCCCCTTGCTTTTTTCAGTGGTTTTGATTGTTTAAGACTCATATTCATTGGTTTGAGGAACATTTTGAAATCTGATAATTGGAAGGCAACAGAAACGCATTGTAGAATAGCTCTACAGGGTTAGGGTTAGCAATTCTGCATTACTTAGACATTTTTCACACAGAGCGAATACAGGAAGCTGGGGGGCTGCAACACAGACTCCGCTGGTCCGAAAACAGTCTCTCGAATTGCGAGCTTCCTGAGAAAGGAGCTGGATGGCCAGAAAGGCAGACTTGAGGCTGTCAAGACTTCTGCTCTGAGTAAGCCTGGCTCTGTGCACCAGGTCAGCTGGAGCTGAAAACTACTAAGAACAAAGGAAGAAAAAATAAAAGGAGGCTCGGGTACGGAGAACTCCCAAATAGCAAGCGTCCTGCCTAAGTGGAAAAAATGTGGGAAGGTTCAGGTACAGAGTACTGAAAATAGGAAAAATAGGTACTTGTGTACTGAAAAAATAGGAAAAACGAAACATAGGATTGGTTACAGAGAAAAAGAATAATGTGCCTTGTAATAAAAGAAAAAGAAGCAGACAAGTGCAGACAATACTGTCTAGCTCAGCAAACTAAAGAGTGGTGTGAGAAAGAGGTAGAGGTGCAAGAGTGCTTGTGAAAAAATGACGAATTGCCGTCGAACCAACTCCCCAGCTTGAGTCAGAAAAGCGGGAATTGAATAATGAGCTGATTAACACAGATCGCAAAAATGTGATCTGTGATCTGTCAGAGCTGCAAAACCCTGGAGAACTGTGAGAATGTAACGGTTTCCCAGGGTAACTGCTAGCCGAAGGACGCCAACATGACAGTAGCAGGGAAATCTGCATGTTAAAGGAGCCTAGACTGCAAACAGTGCTATAATGCCTTACCACCCTGATGATAGTCAGAATGAAGGCATGCCTAGTTACCTTTTTAATCCAGTAACAACAGTGGAAATCTCTTCACTTGGTAGAACCCATTTGGTCAGTCCACCCAATTACTGTCTTCCCTCTTACCAGTGGATGACATGGCTACAACCGAGGCTATAACTCGGTATACAAAGTGATAATATCACTAACCTGTCAATTTAAATCCTTCTCCCTAATGCTGCAAGTGATTGGATAAAAAAGGATGTTAGAAATATGGTTAAAAGAACAGATTTAAATCAAGAGATTATGTTCAAGTTGAATACTGCATTTATAAGAACTCATTTAGAAAGCAGTACAAAACTTTGCTCACCAAATTAAAAAATAACTGCACTTAATGGACTAAAAGGACCAAACCATTTTAGTTTTAGTGTTGACCAAAAAAGACCATGAAAGGACCTGATTCATCAGAAATTCCCAGAAGCATTCTGGACTTCAGAATAAACTATGAAAGACAAACCAGAGGAAGTTTCCAGTAAGTGGAAATACTTTTAGAAATGAAGGTAGGGACACCTTTTTGGTTAGTGGTGGTAGCTACTCAGCCATGTTGTTGAAGCTGATATCGTAGCCTTCATTCCAGATGTGGAATCAATTTTATACTGTACGATTAACTCAATCAGTTAGGTGTGCCGATTGCATTTTAAACCAAAGAAATTTGAAAGATGCCATCACTTATATTAGCCCTAGTGTGAGTCTGTGTGTGTTTGTGTCTGTGTGCCCCCTGCGATGGACTGGCATCCTAAACAGTGTTTCCTGTCTTGAACCCTTTGCTTGCTTGGGTAGATGACTATTGAATAAAATTCAGATTTAATATTTAAAACCAAATTTAAAAAATACATCTTTAAAGAAATAAATCCAAATATACTTTACTGCAAAGGTTTATTATTTTATGTCTTAAAATTTACCACTTAAAATGTTGTACTTGTGTCCCAGGCAGATCATATTGTGTGAGATTACTGTATATGTAGAAAAACCACACAGCTTTTTAAATTTTTCACTTCTGAAGTCACATACAACTGCCTATCAAAAATTCTCTACCATTTAATTGTATTGTCTTAAATGCAATGTGATTGAGAAGTAGGATGAAACGAATGTGTTTAGTGGAGAATATTCCAGATATGTAATTATCTAGAATTTGTATTCTTCTTTTATATCTGCTAAAACTTGATGGATGGGTTTAATTATAGATGAACTTTAAATCCTAATAAAAGAAAAGCCCCTTTGGCATTTAAAAAAATGGCATTATAGTTTTTTCAAAGACAAAAACCTTGATTTTTTGCTTCTTGTATATTATAAAAACTATAAAATACAGTTTTTACAATATTTGTTTTGCTATTTTTGACAATACAACATTTTTTTAAATGCTATCCATATTTGTGTTACTTGCAGAAAATAGGCAAAAATGAGGATACGACAGATTTGACACAAAGCAGAAAATGTAGGCCCTTCAGTTACAGTTCTGCTTCAGTTACTGTGAAAACATGTTAGAGTTATGATTCTGGCGGCCATGTCTTCAATGGCAGAACAGGTGGAAGATGCTGTGTCACCTAGAATATTTCTTTGGCTTTTGGTAGAGGAAAACTGCAGCATAATTAGACTGCCTTTCACCACTGACACCTTGTTTCACCAGAAAATCAATCACAAAAATGTTATTGTTTCTTATCAGATACACTGCACTACACTAACAGAGGACAAATGATAAAATATCCAACCATCCATTCATTTTCTAACCACTTCTTCCAGTTCAGGGTCACGGGCGAACAGAAGCCTAACCATCGCGGGGCAGATAAAACACATACACAGATGCACACACATTCACGCCGGGGCCCAGTTTTCCAGAAATCAATTAACCTACCAGTATGTTTGTGGACTGTGTGTGGGAACTAGAGCACTGGTAGGAAACCCACACGAACATGGAGAGGACATACAGCACTGCAAAGCAACAGTGCTATCCACTGTGCCACCATGCCACCCACCAAATATACAACAGTATATAAAACAAAAATTCAAATACAATGATATAAGACAAGACTAAGTCAAAAAAGAAAACAATAAGGCAGTTAGAAATTGAGAAATGCCT